TTTTTTTAAAGATAATTCCCCAAGTCAAAAATTTAGTAACTATGTTGGCAACACAAGCCTTTTCTACATAAAAATTTGAAAGCATTGACAATTTTACATTGTATTGCCAACATAATGTCATTTTGACTCCTATCTTAAAACAAAAAAACAGACTTTATGTGCATGCTCACTAGAGAGGTATATGGCAAGTATGGATGCTAGCTTTAAATTCGTTCATTTCAATATACGCTCAATTTATTCTCTGTTTGATGCATTTTGCAAATTTGTTACGTAGGAGGGATTTGACGTCATTGGTCTGTCAGAGACTTGGCTACATGACGGTATACTTAGTAGAGGATTAAAAATAGCAAACTATAACTTGATTAGGAAGGAAAGGGATGGACGAGGTGGTGGTATCGCAATGTATATCAGATGCTCTTTGAAATTTCAGGTTCTAGAGGTGGCACATCGGATTGGTTCGATTGAGCAGCTCTGGATTAGAGTTAGAGTAAACGGAAAGTCAATTTGCTTTGGGTCTCTCTATCGACCTCCGGACTTGAGTTTGAACAGTTGTCTGGATGACTTAAATTATTATTAAATTTATTAAATTATTAGACTTAAAGTATCGGCCCTAAGAAGATGTTTTGGCTGATGTTCTGCCTACTGCTGATTATATAATATGTCATTGGCAAGTAATCCTGGGACCAAACTTCTAAATGGATTATTTCGTAAATATAACTTAACTCAATTAATCAAACAGCCTACTCGGATTACTCCAAATTCTGAAACGCTTATTGATTTACTGATAACGTCGGATTCTCGGTTATGTGGGGATGTCCAGGTGCTTGATATGCAAGATGTCTTAGATCATTGTCTGGTTGCGCGCAGTTGAAGCTAAGAAAGACTCGAATTCCTATTTCATATCGCCCGTACAGGGACTATTCCAAATTTTTTAATGATTTATTCAACATTGATTGGAATATTTTCTTGTCTATGGGCGATGTTAACGATCTTGTTTATTTCTTCAATGGGGAGGTTACAAGAGTGTTTGACTTACATGCTCCTTGGAGGACGTCAAGGTTCACAAAGGCTCCAGCACCATGGCTGACTGACAATATTAGGCTGATGATGAGTTTGCGTAAGAAATCTTTGACTAAATATAAAAGGCTTAAAACTGAGGCTGCAATAGTTGAATATAGACAAATGGAAAATTTTGTAACAACAGCGATACGTAATGAAAAAAAGGCATATCTTGATCACAAATTTAGAATAGATCCTAGTGGATTTAAGAAAACCCTGAAAAGGCTAAATATTTGTAATTGGGCCGAAACAGACTCCAAGCTGAGTGGTGACAAGTGTTCACTAGTCAATAACAAGGACAAGAGACATCCTAATGTTGTCAAAATTTTTAAGTTTATCGAGGTGTCTGATGAATGCATAGAAGAGATTATTTCTGGAATAAAAAGTTCGGCTATGGGTTGTGACGGTATTGACCTCAGGATGCTTTCTTTGATTACCCCCTTCCTCACACCGTTTATAACAATTATAATAAACCAATTCCTTAAATCCAGCATATTTCTGACAATATGGAAAAGAGCTGATATCATTCCTATACCGAAAAATAGTATGCCTACAGAGATGTCGCATTATAGACCAGTCAGTATACTTTCTACTATTTCAAAAATCCTTGAACGAGTGATGCTCAAGCAGCTCAACTTATATATTGGTTCTATTTCCTTATTGCCTATGACTCAATCAGGATTTCGTGCCAAACATAGCACATCAACAGCTCTCTTACAAGGGTGTGATGACATATTCAGAGCATTGGACAAAAGAAAGTGTCTGCCCTTGCTCTCTTGGACTATATTAAGGCATTTGATACCCTGGATCATTCAATAATTCTTTGCACTAAGTTAAAATATTTTGGATTGGGTGAGTCTGCTCTATGCTTAGTGGAGGACTAATTAACAGGAAGGAGCCAGAGGGTTCGGCGCTGAGATTTCTGGTTACAGAAGCGTCACCAGGGGAGTTTCGCAAGGTTCTATTTTGGGACCACTATTGTTCTCTTTGTATACCTGTGACTTCCAAAAGCATTTGAGATCTTGCTGTTCACACCAATATGCGGACGAGACGCAAATTTATCACTCTTTCCATCATTCGGACACTCTGCAGGCAGCTAATATTTCTGAACTGTCTAGTTCTCACAAACTTGTGCTGAATGGATCAAAAACTAGGTTGGTGATCTTTGGGCATGCTCAATGCTTAATTGGATAACTTTGTGATTAGGCTCGGTGGGGCGGCGTTGGAGTCCTCTGGTTGTGAAAGAAATTTGGGCATTCTCTTGGATGGTCAACTTAGATTTGAGGCACATATATCCAACTTGCTACAGGGAGCTTACTACAAACTCAAAATGTTTCATATGCATAAAGATATCCTTACTGCGATGTTTTGTACTGGCCAGTTGCTCTTCAAAGGGAAAGGAATAGTCTGCAAGGCTTCAAAACTCTTGTTTGAAATTTTATTACGGTGCAAGGAAGTATGACCACGTCACGCCTCTGTTTTAAATTTCTGGATGGCTGAAGCTCCATGAAAGATACTTGGTTCATTTATCTACACTTGTTCATAAGATTGTTCTTAATTGGCTGATAAGTATATTTTTTATTTAATTTTTTATTTATTTTTTTATTTCAATTAAATATTTTCATTTTTATTTTTATTTTTTATTTTTCGCCGTCCATACGTGATTTTCTTGTAACAATTGTTTTCATTGAATAAAAGGCATTTATTGAGTCCCTTATAGACTTTGCCCTTATTCTGTAAAAAATATATATATTTTTATATTCCAAATTCCAAATAACTACGTAGTTTCTTCGTTTTGTATTTTTTATCTCTCTTGCTTGGCCGCTACCCGTTCTCTCGCATTTGGGTGGTTTTCAAGAAGGAACATTTAGAATTTTTCTTTCGTTGCATACAGTCGGTTAGCTGAATAATATCAGAACCAATTTTCTTATTTAAGAAAAAATATATAAAAAACTTCTGTTTTTTAGTTCATAATATTTTTTTATATTCAATCATTTTAAACGAAGATAGAACATTTTTCTTGTTTTCTTATTTTTAATGAACCAGCAATCTTAAATAGTTAATTTAAGATCTAACAACAATCGGGACAGTGGAAAAGCCCACGAGACCCAAACGAGACCCCGAACAGCATTTGTTATTGTTGTTGTTATTTCTATCTCTATAAGTTTCCCTAGATTAGAGAAATATCTGTTTGGTATATAATAAGTTGAGAACTGTTTTCTAAACGATGCAGATTGCGATGAGAAAGTGAATCTAGAGTTCTGCAACTGGCGAGTAGAAAAATATGCTTTCGAAGAAATTATAGTTTTTTTTGCCAGTGTTATTTGTGAGAAAGTGAATCTAGAGTTCTGTCATTTCATCAATTTCCTAATAACTGGATACCAGAATATTGAGATACCATCAATCGATGAATGAATTCATATATTGTATGTAGTAATAAGCATTGTACAATTTTCACAGGTAAAAAATAAAAGAAAACAAACAAATAGATCAAAATCTAAACCTAAACTTAATCTCAAATATGCTTTACGCAGCATTAAGTTAGTACCTAGAGACTCATCAAAGTCGTCAGAAAATTAAATGTAGGAATTGTTTAATTTTTCTCTTGGACGAATTTTGAGAATGAGAGCGAGCCAGGAGTCAGAACCATTGCAGATAATGTTATCTTTATGATTTTTTTTTAAACATTTTAACGAATTACCTGCAATATTAACATTCGCACTATTTGCTAAGAGTGGGTCCCAGTAGTATTCTCACCCGCGATTGAAATAATATAGCAACGTTGCCAGGCGTGACGAACTTTGTCAGGTTCAAATATTTCCAGTAGTAGACTAAAGCAAAACCAAATAAAACTTATTTCTTACTAATGGGATGTGAAAACCAAATGTGATGTTTAGGTCAAGGTACAGTTTGACTAGACTCAATCCTAATCTTTGAAAGATGATCGACCGATCTTGCACCTCTTCTTATTAAACCGGAAAGGTCAGAATAACGTTGCCACACTGTAAGCTCTTCTTACCTCATTAACAAGAAGGGTATAGGGTATAGACTTTATTAACTAAGAAGGAGCGCGTGAAGCTTGTGGATTGCGTACAAGAGACGACGCAGATTCGTGTCTGATCTTATCGTCGATAAATTAGGTAAGATAATCACTGCTAGAAGTTGCCTCAGACAAATCTAAATTGCATTGCAAATATGTCATTTTTGAGTTTGATTTTTTTTGCTTCGGCCATATTGGGCATTGATTCAGTAATATTATGTAGGTATATTGCTCAGGTCCCGTTTACACCGGTTCGGATCCATTAATATTGCCCCAAGCATAAAGAAACTTTTGAAAACTTGACCGTTCCGACGAAACGCTCTGGAATCCCATTAATCCTTGAGCTGTGGGTCGGGTTGAGAATAATTGTTTTTTTTTTTTTAGTCTGGAGTATTCGCTGACAAAATTTAATGATAGGTATCGAATATATAGATGTCTAAATAGATAATCTGTTTGGGCAAGACTTAATATTGAAACTTGAAACTTGAGACTGGATAATAGAACAAGGTTTTCCAATGGATACATTTTTAGGATTACTAGCTTTAAATATCTGACATCAGAAGTAGGTTGTTTTTTCATGTACCTATTATATTATTCCTATAGAAATAAAACACAATATATTCAAGATCTGTTAATGGATTTATTTCAATAAAGACAATTATAATCATCATCATCGTCATCATCATATAAGACTATACATCTAAATATTTACAATAATAATAATTATAATAATAAAAACAGAGAAATAGTTTATTGTACAATAAGTATTATTAAATAAAATCAGGCTTAAAGAAGAGCCAACAAAAATATATATAATTAATAATTAGATTTAATAATAATAATAATAATAATATTAATAATAATATAAATCTTACAATTTGTTCATTGTTGATATGGTAATAACAATAAATTGGCTAAAAAGACACAAAATATAACTTTGAAGTAACAATTATTAGGTTTAATTTTGGACGTAGAATTTTTGTTACAAAAGATTTTTTACACAAAGAAATTTAGTAGCTTTTTTGATCAAAAAATAATTTTATCACAGCTTCAAATTGCCATATGATGTGATATGAAATAGGAAAGATATGTTTCGTCACAAAAATCCACGCCCAATTCTTTGTATCCCAGTAACATAGGTACAACACTAGTTTTTTTTTTTTTTTTTGTAATAACGAATTTTTTCCATTATTATTGACAATCAAAATTTTCTGAAACACGTACAAATTAACTGGTCATTTATCAACATATAGATCTACTTTTATAGAAGAAAATGCACGATAATCTTCTTTTAAAGACAGTAAAATAAAGGATCCCAAATTGCCACCGCCGTCTTGGTTTTGTTCAGTATCACAGATAAAATTACTAATAAAAATGCACCTTTTACACAAAATAATGTACATTTTTTTTTTCTTTGCAGTAGGGCAAGTTTTAAACTTGCTGCCGCAATGTTCGGTATAGCTCTTGTTTTGCACTTGACCCTTATTGCTCGATCATTTCTGAAACAAAAAAAAGAATACGTTAAGAATAAATCTACGGCACTGTTATTTATATAGTGTAATAGACAAAGACAAAGCTAAACAGGATTCGTTCGAGCCGATCGAAATCTTTCCATTTGTCAATGTCCCGAAGGTGGCGATAGGGGTTTCATTCATCGCATCAACAATGCGTGGGTGGGGCAGCAGAGAATACACATGGTAATATTTTTGGGATTCATTAATTAATTGGCCTGCTTGTTATCGGTAGGTAATAAGTTTGCTTTGCTTTCAGTAATAATCAGTGTAGTGTAACATTTATATTTTGCACAAAACTAATATTTGTGTTAGTGGGATTTTAAGTCCCCTATTTCGTGAGTTCCTCAAGGGTTGTTACTTTATCTGCAGCCAGGTACTATTACCCCTAAAAAAAAATATACTCTCTCTCTCAAGACGACAAGACAATAAATTGATAGAAGAAAGATGGCAAACTCAATATGTGACAAACCAACAATACGATTATGGTATGACAACCATATTGGTAACATACAGACAGGACCAGGCTACTAGACACATAGGCTTCAATGGGACCAGTCGACTGAGAGCTGAGACCGGGTACAAGCTAATTCCTCTTATTACTCCCTACCTATGTGTCTAGTAGATTGATCCCGAGGGGTAAATCACAGATCAGTTTTTGTACACTTTATTTCGGTTCTGGGGGAAATCATGGATGATTTCCTATAATTTCCCCTGATTTCTGTTAATTACCAGTAAGATTAGCCAAGAGTTTCCCACGGTACATAGAGATTGACTGTTTATTTAAAATTTACCATAATTTCCTTCAAATTTCTCATTAATTCCTTGAAATTTTCCTTGATTTCCTCATAATTTCCTCTGACTTCCTTATGATTTCCCCTGATTGCCTTAGATTTCCTGTCGATTTCCCCTAATTTATACAACAGATTTCCCTTTCATTTTACCCCGAGGGGTGAACCGCAAGTCAGTTTTTGCATGCCAGATTGTAGTTTTAGGGAAAATCATGGATGATTTTCCCCTGATTTCTGCTGATTACCAATAAGATTATTCAAGAGTTTTCCTGATAACATAACCTCAAATTTTCTAAGGCATGTAAGATCTAGAGAATGACTGATTTTCTTAAGATTTCCCATGATTTTCTTGATTTCCCCTGGGTACCTCAACATTTTCCTTGATTTCCTTATGATTTGCTTTGATTGCCACAGATTTCTTAGGATTTCTTCTTGATTTCCCCTTATTTGTACAAAGATTTCCCTTCCAGTGTACCCCGAAGGGTATCAACCAGTTTTTGCACGCCAGATTGCGATTTTAGGGGAAATCATGTTAATTTCCCATGATTTCTTCTGATTACCAGTAAGTTTGTTCAAGAATTCTCCTGTAAACATAAAGTTAAATTAAGTATAAAGATTTTGGAAAACTGCGCATGAAATCTAGAGCTTGACTGATTTCCTTAAGAATTCCCATGATTTCCTTAAGATTTCCCCTAAGTTCCTCAAGACTTTCCTTAATTTCCTTATGATTCCCCCGATTACTTTAGATTTTTTCGAATTTCCTTTTGATTTTCCCTAATTTGTACAACAGATTTCCCTTGCAGTTTACCCCGAAGAGTATGAACCGCAGATCAGTTTTTGCACGCTAGATTGCGATTTTAGGGAAAATCATGGTAATTTCCCATGATTTATTCTGATTACCACTAAGATTGCTCAAGAATCTTCCTGATAACATAAACTCAAATTCTGGGTAGGTAATTTTTGAAAACTGCGCATGCAATACATACAAGGAATAAGATGGCAAACTCAATATGTACCAACCAACAATACGATTAAGGTATGACAACAAGATGTCAACATGCAGACAGGTCTAGGCTACTAGACACATAGGCTTCAATGGGACCAGTTGACTGAGAGCTGAGACCGGGTGCAAGCTCATTTGAAGTTAATTACCAGTAAGATTAGCCAAGAGTTTTCCAAGGTAACATAAGATCTAGAGATTGACTGTTTTGTTTAAGATTTCCCATGATTTCCTTCAGATTTCTCATGAGTTCCTCAAAATTTTCCTTGATTTCTTCATAATTGCCTCTGACTTCCTTATGATTTGCCCTGATTGCCTTGGATTTCCTCTGGATTTCCCCTAATTTATGCAACAGATTTCCCTTTCATTTTACCCCGAGGGGTGAACTGCAGGTCAGTTTTTCCACGCCAGGTTGTGGTTTTAGGGGAAATTATGGACGATTTTCCTTGATTTCTGCTGATTACCAATAAGGTTATTCAAGAGTTTTCCTGATAACATAACCTCAAATTTTCTAAGGCATGTTAAATCTAGAGATTGACTGATTTTTTAAAGATTTCCCATGATTTTCTTGATTTCCCCTGGGTACCTCAAGATTTTCCTTGATTTCCTTATGATTTGCCCTGATTGCCTTAGATTTCTTAGGATTTCATCTTGATTTCCTCTGATTTGTACAAGAAATTTCCCTTCCAGTTTACCCCGAAGGGTATGGATCGCAGGTCAGTTTTTGCACGCCAGATTGCGATTTTAGAGGAAATCATGTTAATTTCCCATGATTTCTTCTGATTACCAGTAAGATTGCTCAAGAATCTTCCTGATAACATAAACGCAAATTCTGGGTAGCTAATTTTTAAAAACTGCGATCCATTGATACAAGGAATAAGATGGCAAACTCAATATGTACCAACCAACAATATGATTAAGATATGAGAACAAGATGTCAACCCACGTGCAGACAGGACCAGACTACTAGACACATAGGCTTCAATGGGACCAGTTGACTGAGAGCTGAGACCGGGTGCAAGCTAATTCCTCTAATTACTCCCTATGTGTCCAATAGGTTGATCCCGAGGGGTAAACCGCAGATCAGTTTTTGTACACTAGATTTCGGTTCTAGGGGAAATCGTGGATGATTTCCTATAATTTCCCCTGATTTCTATTAATTACCAATAAGATTAGCCAAGAGTTTCCCACGCAACAGGGATTAAATCTAGAGATTGACTTTTTTATTTAAGATTTCCCATGATTTCTTTAAGATTTCGCATGAGTTCTTTAAAATTTTCCTTGATTTCCTCATAATTGCCTCTGACTTCCTTATGATTTCCCCTGATTGCCTTAGATTTCCTCTCGATTTCCCCTAATTTATACAACAGATTTCCCTTTCATTTTACTCCGAGGGGTGAACGGTGAAACGCAGGTCAGTTTTTGCACGCCATATTGTGGTTTTAGGGGAAATCGTGGAAAATTTTCGCTGATTTCTGCTGATTACCAGTAAAATTATCCAAGAGTGTCCCTGATGAAATAGGCTTAAACTTTAAAGATTCTTGCAAACTGAACATTAGATCTAGAAATTGACCGATTTCCTTAAGATTTCGCATGATTTCCTTAGGATTTCCCCTGGGTTCCTCAAAATTTTCCTTGATTTCCTTATGATTTGCCCCGATTGCCTTAGATTTCTCAGGATTTTCTGTTAATTTCTCCTAATTCGTACAACAGATTTTCCTCCCAGTTTACCCCGAAGAGTATCAGCTGCAAGTCTGTTTTTGCACGCCAGATTGCGATTTTAGGAGAAACCATGTTAACTTCCCATGATTTCTTCTGATTATGAGTAAGATTGCTCAAGAATTCTCCTGATAACATAAAGTCAAATCAAGTATAAAGATGTTGGAGAACTGTGCATGCAATCTAGAGCTTGACTGATTTCCTTAAGATCTCCCATGATTTCCTGAAGATTTCCCCTAAGTTCCTCAAGACTTTCCTTAATTTCCTTATGATTCCCTCTGATTACCTTAGATTTATTCGGATTTCCTCTTGATTTTCCCTAATTTGTACAACAGATTTCCCTAGTTCACCCCGAAGAGTATGAACCGCAGATTTTGCATGTTAGATTGGAAAATCATATGGTAATTTTCCATGATACCTTCTGATTACATGAATGATAACATAAACTCAAATTCTGGGTAGGTAATTTTTAAAAACAGCGCATGCATTTATACAAGGAATAAGATGGCAAACTCAATATGTACCAACCAACAATACGATTAAGGTATGAAACAAGATAGTAACATACAGACAGGACCAGGCTACTAGACACAGGGCTTCAATGGGACCAGTTGACTGAGAGCTGAGACCGGGTGCAAGCTATTTCCCCTAATTACTCCCTATGTGTCTAGTAGCTTGATCCCGAGGGGTAAACCGCAGATCAGTTTTTGTATACTAGATTGCGGTTCTAAGGGAAATCATGGATTATTTCCTATAATTTCCCCTGATTTCTGTTAATTACCAGTAAGATTAGCCAAGAGTTGGCTACGCAACAGGAATTAGATCTAGAGATTGACTATTCTGTTTAAGATTTCCCATGATTTTCTCAAGATTTCCCTAATATTTTCCTTGATTTCCTCATAATTGCCTCTGACTTTCTTATGATTTTCCCTGATTGCCTTAGCTTTCCTTTCGATTTCTCCTAATTTATACCAGAGATATTCCTTTCATTTTACCCTGAAGGGTGGGCCGCAGTAAGATTACCCAAAAGTTTTCCTGATAACATAACCTCAAAATTTAAAGATTTTTGAAAACTGAACTTGCGTTAGATCTAGGGATTGACTGATTTCATTAAGATTTTCCATGATTTTCTTAGGATTTCCCCTGAGTTCCTCAAGATTTTCCTTGATTTCCTTATGATTTACCCTGATTGATTGTCTTAGATTTCTTAGGATTTCCTCTTGATTTTTCCTGATTTGTACAACAGATTTCCCTTCTAGTTCACCCCGAAGGGTATGAACCACAGGTCAGTTTTTGCACGCCAGATTGCGATTTTAGGGGAAATCGTGTTAATTTCCCATGATTTCTTCTGATTGGATTTTGTAAAACTGTGCATACGATCTAGGGCTTGACTGATTTCCTTAAGATTTCGCCTGAGTTCGTCAAGACTTTCCTCAATTTCCTCATGATTTCCCTTGATTATTTTAAATTTCTTCGGATTTCTCCTAATTTGTACAACAGATTTCTTCCAGTTTTCCCCGAAGAGTATGAACCGCAGGTCAGTTTTTGCACGCTAGATTTCGATTTTAGGGAAAATCAAGGTAATTTCCCATGATTTCTTCTGATCACCAGTAAGATTATTGCTCAAGAATTTTCCTGATAAAATATACTCAAATTATAAAGATTTTTGAAAACTGCGTATACGATCTAAAGATTGACTGATTTCCTTAAGATTTTCCCTGAGTCTCTTAGAATAGCCTTTGCAATTATGGTACATGGACCCGCTGGCCAAAAATCTCTTCATCACCCAGAAGCTTCTCGAAATAATTACAGATGAAAGATTTGTTTCGTATCTTGAAATTCGAAATTTCAATTTGTAAACTAATACCTCGTGGCCTATTATAATAGATCGGTTTCTAATAATGTCCGAGGCCCAGCGTGGAAACAAATTGCCGATTGAAGATTAGACCTCGAAACAATTTAAAACTCTCCCGACATTATCTCTCATTGTAAAGGTGTTTCTTAAGAATGCATTATGTCATAGTCGAAAAGATTGGTTTCGGTTCGGGAGATGGTTCGGCCGAGATATCTGATGGCGTATTGGTAAATTTAATAAGTTTTTGTGGGACTTGGTTTAGAAAATTACCGTTATAAAATAAATTTAGGAGAGCTGAATTGAGATTGATTCTCTTAAAAACAAAGTTCCACTGCAGTGTGTTTGCTTTAAAATATTCTATTTACAATTTAAACCTGTCACCTCACAAATATTCATTGTTTTCAATACGTAGCCTCCCACGTTACCATAAAAAAAACTTTGGGGAATTTATCTCCCCCATACGTCAAATCAGTATAAAGAGAGAGGCTTTCAATTTTTATACATTTTTTTTCTGAGCATAGAAATAGGGGGACGATTTTAGTTTACGTCAACTTTCAATAATTGGAATATTACTCCATACTTGATCTGAGCTGTCACTAAATCCAAAGTAGCCCAACTTACTTATAAATAAAATAAATCAGAATTACTATTTCGACTTACCTTTGAAAAATATATGATCTTGTTCATACCGGTGACACGAATCCGCCGTTTATACTTTGTGAACTGAAACAAAAGGAACTTCAATTAAAAACCAGAAAATCGTGGAATTTTTGAGGGATGTTTCATTTTATTTTTTTGAAAATCGGATAAAAATTAACAAAGTTATGAGGCAAAATGTGGATCAACTTCATTTTGAGAAAAATTAAATTTCCAAAAAACGACATTGAGGCTTGTTTTATTTCTTCATGAGGACAATATTTGAGAGATTGGATTGAAATTTTGCAAATAGATAGAGAAAATATTGAAAATCATAAAAAAAATCAAAACTTCGTTTTACTAGCCTGGTAATTTACAATATTTCCCGATTTATAGTTTTTGAGCAAATTGAGTTTGAAGTTTTTGACAAAATTTGGACTAAAAGTCAAATTTGAGGCTCAATTGCTCAAAAACTATCCGAGCTATCGAACTCAATTTTGCACAGATTTATAGAGAATTTGATGCTCTTTCCAACGATGTATAATTTATTCCAATTTGCTCAAAATTTACCAAAAATATTAATTGCCCATGTCAAGATTTTGAAAATTTCCCAGAGCCAAGATAGGATTTTATTTTTATTTTTGTTTCTGCCTAAAATGGGCATTTGGAATAGATATCAGGGTTGTTTTCCACCAATTTTGACCGGCTCTATCGATTCATAAAGTCAAAATTGAGCAAAACTTAAAAATAAAAAAAAATCGAATTTTTCATAAGGGGCCTTTGAACTCTGATTTCAAAATATTCAAACCTCAATTGCTCATTAACCGTTGAGCAAATTATATTAAAAGTTTCAGCATTTTTAGCTCTTATTAAGCTCTTAATGGCCTGTGATTTACAATATTCCCAGATTTATAGTTTTTGAGCAAATTGAGTTTGAAGTTTTTGACAAAATTTAGACCGAAAGGCAACTTAGAGACTCAATTGCTCAGAAACTATTTGAGCTATCAAACTCAATTTTTCACGGATTTATAGAGAATTTAATGCTCTTTCTAATGGTATATAACTTCGCCCAATTTGCCAAATTTACCAAAGATATGGGTAATTGTTCATGATCATGTCAGGCCTTTGGAAATTTTCTAGAGCCAAAAATAGGATTTTCTCTTTATTTTTGTGTCTGCCTAAAATGGGCATTTGGAACTGATATCAGGGTTGTTTTCCACTAATTTTGACTGGCTCTATTGATTCATAAAGTCAAAATTGCGCAAAACTAAAAAATAAAAAATCGAATTTTTCATAAGGGTACCCCCTTTGAATTCTGATTTCAAAATATTTAAACCTCAATTGCTCAGTAACTGTTGAGCAAATTGCATTAAAATTTCCAGAATTTGTAGCTTTTATTAAGTTCTAAATGGCCTGTAATTTACAATATTTCCAGATTTATAGTTTTCGAGCAAACTGAGTTTGAAGTTTTTGACAACATTTGGACTAAAAGTGAGATTTGAAGCTCAATTGCTCAAAAACTATCCGAGCTATCGAACTCAATTTTACACAGATTTATAGAGAATTTGATGCTCTTTCCAATGATGTATAATTTGTTCCATTTTGCTTGAAATTTACCAAAGATTTGGGCAATTATTCATGACCATGTCAAGATTTTGAAAATTTTCCAGAGCCAAAAGAGAATTTTCTCTTTATTTTTCTTTCTGCCTAAAATTGGCATTTGGAATTGATATCAGGGTTGTTTTCAACTAATTTTGACCGGCTCTATCGATTCATGAAGTCAAAATTGAGCAAAACTAAAAAATACAAAAATCGAATTTTTCATAAGGGTACCCCTCGGGGTACCCCCTTTGAATTCTGATTTCAAAATATTCAAACCTCAATTGCTCAGTAACCGTTCAGCAAATTGCATTGAAGGTTTCAGCATTTGTAGCTCTTATTAAGCTCTAAATAGCCTGTGATTTACAATATTCCCAGATGAATTGTTTTTGAGCAAATTGAATTTGAAGTTTTTGACAAAATTTGGACTGAAAGGCAACTTAGAGACTCAATTGCTCAAAAACTATTTGAGCTATCAAGCTCAATTTTTCACGGATTTATAGAGAATGTAATGCTCTTTCTGATCGTATATAACTTCTCCCAATTTGCTGAAAATTTACCAAAAATATGGGCAATTGTTCATGATCATATCAGGCCTTTGAAAATTTTCTAGAGCCAAAAATAGGATTTTCTTTTTATTTTTGTGTCTGCTTAAAATGGCCATTTGGAATTGATATCAGGGTTGTTTTGCACTAATTTTGACCGACTCTATTGATTCATAAAGTCAAAATTGCGCAAAACTAAAAAATAAAAAAATCGAATTTTTTCATTCATTTGAATTCTGATTTCAAAATATTCAAACCTGAATTGCTCGGTAACCGTTGAGCAAATTGAATTAAAATTTCCAGAATTTGTAGCTTTGATTAAGTTCTAAATGGCCTGTAATTTACAATATTTCCAGATTTATAGTTTTTGAGCAAATTGAGTTTGAAGTTTTTGACAAAATTTGGACTAAAAGTCAACTTTGAGGATCAATTGCTCAAAAACTATCTAAGCCATCGAACTTTGCACAGATTTATAGAGAATTTAATGCTCTTTCCAACGATGTATAATTTATTCCAATTTCCTCAAAATTTACCAAAAATATGGGCAATTATTCAAGACCGTGTAAAGATTTTGAAAATTTTCCAGAGCCAAAATAGGATTTTCTACGAAATATATGAAAACAGTCATAAATTAAAATTCTATACGTTCATGCAATAGTCTCAATTTTCAAATATCCCTTTTGCCCTTTCTGATTTTGTATTACCTTGGAATTTTGAATTAACATAATAAAACCTTCATTCTATAATCAACCAAAATTTTATATGTATATTTTTATCCAATTACCTTTTATAGAAAGGTTTAAACGCCGCATTCTCTCCAACACCACCAGCCTGATTCATCTGTTGCTGACCACCTTGCTGCGTCCGCTGAGGACTGTGGATACGTCCAAAACCACCCAGGAAATTTTGAGAATATTGATTCGACGATGCTCCTATGCAAGGCGCACCTTGTCCTGGAGGTACGTTGCCGGTAATGGTAGGCAGTTTCATGTTGGGAGGTGTCTGAGGCGGCGTGTCAGTCTGGACATCGGGGAAACCTTGCTGGCAGTGGCTCGGTAGAAAACCACTATTCGAACTATACCTGAAATAATTATGAAATCTTGAATACAAATCGTAAAAAAAAATAGAAAAATTCTTACCTTGAGCTAGGTAAAGCGAAACCATTAGAACCCAACCATTGACCTCCTTGTGCGGGAGGTGGCGGAGGAGGTGTCTTACAAGCGGCAGTATCAGCCAAACTCCAAATTTTCGGTTTGGAGGGTGGTAAAGGCACCCCGCAATCGGAACCTTTAATTTCTGACTTCAAACTGTAACCGTTACTGAGAATGTGATGCATGTTGTTCCCTAATATATCATCCTTTCTGTCTTCGTCCGTCATATCGTCGTCGTCCAAATCCTTATTTGATCGTTCTGATTTTATTCGGCCGTGAATATCTGATTATTGATAAAAAAAAAAATGATGATAAATAAATATCAAAAAGGCCCCGAAAGTGGCTAATTTTGGGGAAGAAATTAGGAAACAATGAAGAGACTAAAAGCTGCATCGAATAAAAGGGTCGTTCTATACGATTTTATAATTGAATGAAACCCCAGCCCCTCTGATATAATTAAGGGTTATACAGTTAGGGGAAGAGGTCTTTATTTAAAGCTGTTAAGAGGGTGAAACTTTGCGATACTTTTTAGTCTGGGAGCTTGAGATCTTAATTTAACTCTTAGTGTATGGGTAGTTTTTAATCTGTTAAGGTAAAATAACTCATGAAAAAATTAATTCTCCCAATTAAAAATTCGGATACCCTGTAACATAATTAGGGACTATCATTATTCGTTGTTTCCTAAAAATCCCCCAATCTATTTTCTGTTTGTATGAAGTATAGAACGGCACATTAACTGGCGAATGTGATTATAGGGGGAAGGCAAAAAGGGTGTCAAAATGAAAATGATATTTTATTAAGAGAAAGTGGAGTTTGCCATTTAGAAGGGGGCGTTTTGACGACGGATTTGGGGGTGATATTTTCGGGGCGATGTCAATTATGCGCCTAATAAAATAAATAAAAAAATTACCTACCTGTGTCGTCTCGTTTATCGTCGTCATCTTTGTCTTTGTCGTCGCTGTCGGAGACCAGAGCATCGTCGTCGTCGTCTGTTTTATTTTTCGGCTCCCAGGTCATCTTGTTTTCTTTTTTTAATCGTCTTCGGGCGTTGGCGAACCACGTCGACACCTTCAAGAGAAGAAAGAAAAGGTGAAGAAAGGTCGTTACATCTGAATGGTTTTTGAGATATTTAAAGAACAATTATTTACAATTGAGGAAATTTAGAGTGACTATAGTTTCAAGTTATGAATATGCATTAGGTATGAAGAATATAATAGATAATGATAAAGAAGAATGAAATTATGTGTACATAAATGACAATCTAGGCTAACAAAAAAAAAAACGACTATTGATTCTGAAGTAAGTATTTACTGTGGAAAAATCTAAAGGCCTTTAGATTAAAACAAATTGTTTTCCAAGAAAAAATGGACCAGTGTAGAGATTCTTCAACTTAGGGTTGAAAGAAGATAAAACAAGAGCATCGGGATAAATATCGTCAGCTCAACAAGCAGCTTGAATCTCGACTACAACACCAACACCCCAGACAGCACACAAAGTCTTGAAGGCGTCATTTTCACGTCTGCATTACGTCTGAACGTCTGAAGACACCTCGTTGAAGACGTCTTCAGAATGTCTAAGTTTTGAAGACTTTTAAGGCAGACGTTTGGAAGACGTTTGGTTTTGTAACATACAACGTTTTCAAAAATTTTTTAAGACGTAAGCGCGACGTGTTGTCTTAAATCTCGTTTGTGGACATCTTTAGGATGCCTTCAAAAATATTTCCCACATAATTCGTTTCTCGTTTAGGACATTTGTCTAATAGTGAATACCGACACTTCTGCGAGAAAGTTGTCTGATAGTTTTAATAAATTTCAATTTGAAGACTTTCTTAAAAATTTAAGAAAACGTGTGGATAGATTTTTACATTTTAAACTCTAAGATGGTTGTTTACCAAGTTATAACTCAGGTCTGGACATCTAAGACACTCGTCTGAGAAATGTATGCTCTTTCTTAGTAGTTTAAGACAATAGTCTAGTAAAGTCAGATACTATCTGTGAAACATTTTTGACTGATAAGTTTAATGAACATAGACATTTTCTTAAAAATATAAGAGAAATAAATGGAAAGTTAAGACCAAGGTTAGGACACTGGCCTAAAGGATATTATTATCTGATAAATCTTGGTACTTTCTCAATAGTTTAGGACACTCGTCTTATAGTATAAATACCGAATCTCCTGCAAGGCAGTAGTTGTCTGATAGCTTTAATAAATTTCAATTGGAAGACTTTCCTAAAGATTTAAAAAAACGTGTGGATAGATTTCTACCCTAAGATGGTTGTTTAACAAGTTAAGACTCAGATCTGGATATCTAAGACACTCGTCTGAGAAATGTATGCTCTTTTTTAGTAGTTTAAGACAATAGTCTAGTAAAGTCAGATACTATCTGTGAAACATTTTTGACTGATAAGTTTAATGAACATAGACATTTTCTTAAAAATATAAGGGAAATAAATGGAAAGTTGAGACCAAGGTTAAGACACTGGCCTAAAGGATATTTTTGTCTGAAAAAGCTTGATACTTTCTCAATAGTTTAGGACACTTGTCTTGTAGTATAAATACCGAAACTTCTGCAAGGCAGTTGTGTGTTAGTTTTATTAAATTTCAACTTGAAGACTTTCTTAAAAATTTAAGAAAACGTGTGGATAGATTTCTACATTTAAAACCCTAAGATGGTTGTTTACCAAGTTAAGAGTCAGGTCTGGACATCTAATGGCCGTTTCCACCAACTATTTTAGGGAAGCCCTAACGATAAGTATTCCTTGGAATGAAATTTTTACATGGAGAAATGTCAGTTTAGGGAATACTTATCGTTAAGGCTCCCCTAAATTAGTTGATGGAAACAGCCATAAGACACTCGTCTGAGAAATGTATGCTCTTTCTTAGTAGTTTAAGACAATCGTCTAGTAAATTCAGACATTATCTGTGAAACACTTTTGTGTTCCATAGACATTTTCTTGAAAATATAAGATAAATAAATGGTAAGTTAAGACCAAGGTTAAGACACTGGCCTAAAGGACATTTTTGTCTGAAAAATTTTGATACTTTCTCAATAGTTTAGGACACTTGTCTTGTAGTATAAATACCGAAACTCTTGTAGGGCAGTTGTCTGAGCTTTAATAAATTTCAATTTGAAGATTTTCTTAAAAATTCAAGAAAACGTGTGCATAGATTTCTACATTTGAAACCCTAAGATGGTTGTTCAACAAGTTAAGACTCAGGTCTAGACATGCCTGCAAGGGAGTTATCTGATAGCTTCAATAAATTTCAATTTGAAGACTTTCTTGAAAATTTAAGAAAACGCGTGGATAGATTTCTACATTTAAAATCTTAGATGGTTGTTTACCAAGTTGAGACTCAGGTCTGGACACCTACGACATTCGTCTGAGAAATGTATGCACTTTCTCAATAGTTTAAGACAATCGTCTAGTAAACTCAGACACAATCTGTGAAACACTTTTGTCTGATAAGTTTAATGAACTTGGATATTTTCATAAAAATATAAGAGAAATAAATGGTAAGTTAAGACCAAAGTTGACACTGGCCTAAAGGACATTTTTGTCTGATAAATCTTGAATTTTTCTCAATAGTTTAGGACACTTTTCTTATAGTATAAATACCGACACTCCTGCAAGGCAGTTGGTCTGAGAGCTTAAATAAATTTCAATTTGAAGACTTTCTTAAAAATTTAAGAAAACGTGTATGGATATATCCACATTCAAAACCCTGAGATAGTTGTTTACCAAGTTAAGACTCAGGTCTGGACATTTAAGACATTCGTCTGAGAAATGTACCTATGCTCTTTTTTACTAAAAAAAAAAAAAAAAGATCATCGTCTAGTAAATGCAGACTCAGATATACAAACTGTTTATGAGAATAATCACCAACCACCTAGAAAGGAAATTCGATGATTACCAACCCAAAGAACAAGCCAGGTTATAGAAAGAGCTACAGCACTATAGAAAATCTTCTCACAATGAGAATAGGTATTAAATATTTAATATCACATAGGCTGTTCACCCTAGTCCTCGAAAATATGTTCAAGGAACTACAGTGGGAAAATAGAAAGATCAATATATCTGCGGAGAAAACCTCAATAATTCAAGATCCGCAGATGACATCGTGATATTCTCCCTGAACCAAACAGACTTAGAAATCATGCTGAAAAAATTACTCCAAGAGCCAAAAATATTGGATTAAAAATGTACATATCAACAACAGAGCTTATGACAAATGAGCAAACAGATAGGAACACTTTAGAACTTCAATTAGCCATTTAGAACGTTCCAAACTGGTCCAGCAGCATTTTGAAAGGTTCCAGAACAATTTAAAAACCTCAGAATTATTTCAGAAAGCCTGGAATAGAGTCTTTCGTACTTACAGTTGATTTTACCCGTAGGTTTTATTTTTTTTTCAAGATAACCAATTATCAGTTGCTAATTATTTTCTAGGTGTGTTTTTGAATTTTCACACTTCCATATTTTATGCAATTTTATAATTTTTTTAAAAATTCAGTGGTGCCCTCGCCATTCTGTACTAAATAAACTAACAGCCCACACCTAATATTTTTTTTCGCTGAGCTAACTGAGCATATTATGGACCCATAGTTAATTCATTAACTTAAGGGGTTACATAAATTCAAAGTTATAAAACGAGCAATATAATAATGAAATATTAGTCCTGAAGACGTCTTTAAGATGCCTCTGTGCTTACTGGGCAGTTCTTGTTTGTAATGACGGTCAAGGTAATATTCTGGAAAATGATTCCAGAAATTATAAATGAAACTGGATTATTGACAAGACCACCGTAAGCAAAAAGTCAGACCGAGCTGTGGAAATATAGACATCAAAGACTATATAAATGAACGAAATTGTTGAGACGTGGACTTATTATTGTGCTTCGTATGGACTAACAGAATAAGTGAAGAAATTCTAAGAAATATGAAAAAAGATGTGGAGAATTTCTACACATGAAAAAGTGCTCACTTGCTTGAGATCCCAAATATCAATTACTGCAGCTGATTGTTAAGGGAAAAAAGGAAGGAAAGTGTAGTGGCGGAAGATATAACTTTTTCTCAGCTCCAATAATTGAATTCTTATTACAGTCATTACATTTATAGTTTAACTTTGAAAAGTCAACTACTGCCCTAGTGATCAAATACTCTTCATTCTCTTCAATTCTCTTTCATGATTAAAAATAGTAAAACTTACCTGTGTTAAAGTCATCTTAGTGATAATCGCAAGCATAATTTTCTCTCCTTTGGTCGGATAAGGGTTCTTTTTATGTTCGTTGAGCCACGCTTTAAGGGTGGCAGTCGATTCTCTAGTCGCATTTTTCCTACGGGCTGCTAAATCGTACCCAGCACCATACCTGCAACCATAAATAAACCCTGTAAGAACTTTTGTCGCTTTGCTCTAATAACTCAAAAAAAAAGTAACGCTCTAAATAACATAAAAACATAAAACACGGTCGTTTTGTTATGGCGGCTTTTATTAGATCACAATATAGTGCCCCGACTCATGCAACCTGAATATTATTATCCAGATTTGTGTTTTGTGTTATAGTTTATTGGTACTATTTCTGACTTCATCATTATATAAGGCACGAAAACTTCCCCTAATAAATTGGTTCTTAATATTTTGATATCGTGCCAAGGGTTATAGATAGGAAATATACCTAATAAAGCTTAAATTTGACAAAAAAAAGTTCAATTCCATCTCTGGTCTCCCTAAAAACCTCAGAAAGAAAAAAAAAGTCGAACCACTTTTCCTATTTTCACCGCACGCCTGTTTTTCCCATATAGATACGTGCTGACTTGGGGTTTTCACCCCGTCGGTTGGGGCGGACAGCTCCAACTTTCCCCCTCATCGCTGGGATGCCGTTTAGGTCTTTTATAAGGGCAGATTGATGGTTTAATTGAGTTTAGTGTTTTCCAGTCAATCTGGGGTGCGAATGGGTGTTAGGATTTATGGATGGCTAAGACGAGAAGGCGGAATCCTTGAAGAGGGAAAGAATTATTTACGTTTTACAGTATGTACAGTAGCATCTTGAAATGGTAAAACGGACCAACACATCAATTTTTTTAGGGTGATAAGAAGGTTCCTACCCTACATAAAGTATGAAGAAAATTTTTCAGTGCCTGATATTCATCACTTATTTGAAAGTAGGAGAAACTTTGGATACCTATCTCGCCCCTATATCATGGATTTTTTGGTATAGTTTGAATTAGAATGATGAACGTAAATTGGGACAGATATACAATAATTCTAAAGGAACTTTCATATAGGTAATGAGTTAAGCAGAATGAGACTCGACTCTACTACCAGGAAGATGAAAGTCAAATAAATGCAGGTAGAACTTTTAAATCCTTATCTTAACATCCGATATTGATGCAAATTTGAAACTTGTTGAGTCTATAGAAGAAGATTAGTGGTATCTTATACCAAAATCTCAAGTTGATTTCTTCAAAATTGGAAAATATCCAAAAAATTAACTTTGGCAAACATTCAAGTTCTTTTATAACTGAACTACGCTTTTTTGCAAAAAATTGAACTTTGACAAGCTGTCACAAATTGACTAATCGTCTGATAAATTAAAAATATCTCAGAAGTGTAAATTTGAAGCTTTCAAAATATAGAAATTCAAACTGGAACTTGAGATTTGACTCAGAAGCCGACTTATGGCTTCTTTTATAACTGAACCAATCTTTTTTCCAAAAAATTGAACTTTAACAAGCTGTCACAAATTGGCTAATCGTCTGATAAATTTGAAATGTCGCAGAAGTGTAAATTACAGCTTTCAAAATATGAAAATTCAAACTGGAATTTGGGATTTGATACAGAAGCTGACTTACGACTTCTCTTATAACTGAACTCTGAACTACGCTTTTTTGTAAGAAATTGGAATTTGACAAACTGTCACAAATTGGCTAATCGTCTGATGGATTTGAAATATCTCAGAAGTGTAAATTACAGCTTTCAAAATATGAAAATTCAAACTGGAATTTGGAATTTGATACAGAAGCTGACTTACGACTTCTCTTATAAATGAACTCTGAACTACGCTTTTTTGCAAGAAATTGGACTTTGACAAGCTGTCACAAATCGGCTAATCGTCTGATGGATTTGAAATATCTTCAGGAGTGTAAAATGAAGCTTTCAAAATATAGAAATCCAAACTGAAACTTGGGATTTGACTCAGAAGTCGACCTATGATTTCTTTTATACCTAACTAAACTACTCTTTTTTGCAAGAAATTTAACTTTGTCAAGCTGTCACAAATTGGCTAATCGTCTGATAAATTAAAAATGTAAAAATTGAAGCTTCCAAAATATAGAAATCCAAACTGGAATTTTGGGATTTGATACAGAAGCCGACCTATGATTTCTTTTATAACTGAACTACCCTTTTTTGCAAGAAATTGAATTTTGACAAGCTGTCACAAATTGGCTAATCGTCTGATGGATTTGAAATATCTCAGGAGTGTAAATTGAAGCTTTCAAAATATAGAAATCCAAACTGGAACTTGGAATTCGACTCAGAAGCCGACCTATGATTTCTTTTATAACTGAACTACCCTTTTTTGCAAGAAATTGAACTTTGACAAGCTGTCACAAATTGGCTAATCGTCTGATAGATTTGAAATGTCTTAGAAGTGTGAATTGAAGTTTTCAAAATATAGAAATTCAAGCTGGAACTTGAGATTTGACTCAGAAGCCGATTTATGGCTTCTCTTATAACTAAACCAATCTTTTTTGAAAAAAATGGAACTTTGACAAGCTGTCAAAAATTGGATAATCGTCTGACAGATTTGAAATGTCTCAGAAGTGTAAATTGAAGCTTTCAAAACATAGAAATTCAAATTGGAACTTGAGATTTGACTCAGAAGCCGACTTATGGTTTTTTTTACAACTGAACTAATCTTTTTTGCAAGAAATTGAACTTTGCTAAGCTGTCACAAATTGGCTAATTGTGTAATAGATTTGAAATGTCAAAATCCGATATTGGAAAAAACTTGAAACCTTGTGAGTCTATAGAAGAAGGTTAGGAGTATTTCATGCCAAAATCTCAAGTTGATTTCTAGCCTCTTTTATGGAGCAGTTTGATGGAAATGGTCATGTGGGTATGTCACCATTATGGAGAAACATTAGGAAACGAAATCGATTATCCAGTGGAAAAAGACTTTTCGCATATATTATACCTTTGAAAGTCTGCATATAAGCAAGGAAAATAAATGAAAATAACTGAAATAGAAACAGAATTCTTTAGAGACATGCTACTTCTTCGGCCACTCATTATCCATCTGTGGATATGGGCTTTTGCCAATTCTCGCCCTATGATGCTTCGATTGATGTTCGTGATCATGTTTCCATCCCTAACCTTACACTTTTTCCACTTCTAGGAAAAGTCCAAATGAAAACTTCGCAGAAATGCTAGAAGAGCTCGAAGAAGTTATACTGCAAACTCCAAAGATTGCATTCGTAACCCTGAAATTCTCACAGTATTCATTGAAAACGTGATAATATTAATTGCCATCAGTATTCGATACCGAATGGGCACTCCAAGAAGAAATAAGTATATTTTGGAATTCATTGAGAAAGGAAATCATGTCCTCAAATTAAAATTAAAATAGTAAGTTCCTTTAGATGTTAGCGAAAATTTTAAATCTTACAAATATCTCCTTCTAAATCATATATCAACTTCAAATATTGAACCTTTGTTAATTCTCTTAGCTTCTGGATTCTGGATCCGATCCTGTATACAGCCGCAATGGCCTTTTCGGTGCGTCTACCAAAGCCGCCCCTCGAAAAAAAAGGGAAAGAGTGGCATACAGAGTTTAATAGGGGTGAAACCACTCAAACTATAATCAAAACCCTGCGTGCGGAAAACGAGGTCGATGCATTTTCCCCCATCTGACAGCTCCGCACAAAATAATTGACTAACGTGATAAATCTGTTGTTTTTTTTTTTTCCTTTTTGTGTTTGGAAAAGTGTAAGTGTTATCAGGAGAGGTATTATGGTTTTCTTGTTTTGGCATTTTATTATTTATTTATTTATTTATTATCAATTATTTTTCTTTGTATGATATTTTTTCTAATTTTGTTTTTTCTCTATTTATTTCATAGGTATTTTTTTCTGGTATTCTAGTTAAGTATTCCTATTTTTTCTCACTCTGAATTCCTGAACCTCATTTTTTATTCATCGGATTCTTTCGCGGGGACTTGTTAAATGAGGTGTCCCGCAACATTTGCCAACATCCTATTATAACGCTATTATGCTTTATTTGTTCAATTATCAAACCTATTGTTCAGTCCAGAGAAACGAAATCCGATAATATCTTTTCGGGCGAGGCTTTTTTTTAGGTTTTTTTGCAGTACTGGGTCTTGGGTTCGACACCTTGTCCGAGGATTGAATACATTACAGTTTTTTTTTTAAGGACTTTTATGTATTTCGTATTTTTATAATAATAATAATAATAAATGCCTTTTATTCAATGAAAACAATTGTTACAAGAAAATCACGTATGGACGGCGAGATCTAGCATGGCTATTCTATCTAACCGTCTTTTCTCACAGACTCTAGAAAATACCTTCTCCTCCAAGACAAAATGGCTGGAAACGCGAGCGCTCGTATATCGATTGGCGTATAGGGACGTCTGTCGTCGCGACGCCGCAGGTGGATCGAGGGCCCCCTTTCTATGTCATGGCATTGCACCATTATTTTCCACTTTCGCGGCTGAGAGTCGATAAAATTGGTTTCGGATTTGTTTCGGCTTGTTTTGGAACGCGATTTTTCATTCACGATTTTTCTTTTTCTTTAATAATGATTTTACTCACCCATAGGCAGCTAACGCAGGATCGTACGGATAATACCCTGTAGTTGGTTGTAGCCCTGCACTGGTCCATGCTGACATATCAGCTGCTCCGCTAGCGTCTTTTAAACTGTATGGGTTACTCTGGAAAGAAAATAAATTTTATTATTTGAAATAGGTACCTATGTAGTTAAACATAAGACTATAGGAGTGAAGGTTAAGGAAGAAGTAAGAAGAAGGGTACAAGCATTTCCCAAAAGGTACCTACACTTGAATTGTTAGTTGAGATTGTATTGTCAAAAAGTTACTAACAGACATTTGATTTGTGATTTGGTAAGTCTATACTGAAAAGTCGACTCAATTTAAAAACAGTTTTGATGGAAAGACGAACGTATATGCTGAATTAATGCTTGTTCATGGAATGGTGACTTGTTGACCTAATCCTTTTCTACTGGTTAGTACAGAACAGATCCAGTTAGTCTACTCTGTGTCACTTCCACATCAGCTTGTTAAAAAAACCACTATACATAATGGGATTTTATTAGCTGAAATGACACCTCGAGATCATTGAAAGAGGGGCTGAAATTGATAATGATTAAGACACAATCGAATTAGTGAGCTGAGACCAAATTGATCACTTTCTCAACAATAGAAGATATGAAGGAGACCTGACATGTATGCGTACATGAAGCTGGTAACAGAGACTCGGGCAGAAATGTTGAATATAATAATATGTTGGATATGAAAATTCACTTAGTTTTACCACACATATTATTGTTTTACCTGCACTTTACCTGTTTTTGTGGTGACGTTAATTTTTGATAGATTGTCTAATGTAATGTCAGATGAAATTATGTTGGCAATACAATGTAAAATTGTCAATGCTTTCAAATTTATTATGTAGAAAAGGCTTGTGTTGCCAAGATAGTTACTAAATTTTTGACTTGGGGAATTATCTTTAAAAAAAAACAGACTTTAGTTAATAATCATATTTTCCCGTTATTTCACATCATATCTTCTACTGAAAATCAGTTCCAGTGTATTTATTTGTCCATTAACTCCAAGAAGTTATGGGTCCAGGAGTAAAGGTTTGTGAAAAATAGCTGCAAACTGTAAGTGTATCTTGGATTTTGTTCAGTCATTCTTTGTTTAATTTTTCGTTGCAGTATGAAGTCGAGAAGGAACTCGATATATTAACAGTGGACATAGGCGCCGGAACCATGGGGGCAATGGGGGCAATGGGGGAATGGGGGCAATGGGGGCAATGGGGGCAATGGGGGCAATGGGGGCAATGGGGGCAATGGGGGCAATGGGGGCAATGGGGGCAATGGGGGCAATGGGGGCAATGGGGGCAATGGGGGCAATGGGGGCAATGGGGGCAATGGGGGCAATGGGGGAATGGGGGCAATGGGGGCAATGGGGGCTTGGGCGCCCGTAGTGAATTTGCTATGAGGGCGGAGCCCCCATAGTGATTTTGGCATTGTATGTAGTGGGTGCAATGGGTGTAGTGGGTGTAGTGGGTGTAGTGGGTGTAATGGGTAGGTACAAAAATATTGAGTTCCTAATCCTAACATTCCTAACTATTTATTTTTATATCAAACTTGTGTGTTTTATGTTTTCGTTGTTTTTGCTATACCTTCTTTGAAAAACAATTTGAATATTTTTTTGTTTAGTAAAGTATAGTAAATTTTAGGGGCCTTAATACAAAAAGCTTAGATGATACCCATTACCCAACATAACAAATCTATTAAACAAGTTGGGACGATGCCAGTATTTCACCATCTTAGATTTAGCTAGCGGCTTCCACCAGATCCAGATGCATGAAAAGGACATCGAAAAAACCGCATGCAGTACAGAAAACAGGCATTATGAATTCTTGCGCATGCCCTTTGGTTTGAAAAACGCGCCGGCTACATTCTAAAAAGTTATGGATGATATTCCATATCCCAATATATTAAGCAAATTTAACACCGAAAGATATAACATCCTATTAATAATAGTTATTCAGTATACAAGGGAAAAAAGTATTAAGATTCTAGAGACAGATGTGGTTTGCCTTCCGTCGTAAAGCGGAGGGAGACAACAAGAGCGCTGGGAATGCTGGAGGTGGGACAGCGGAAATCGTTATCTTTCGTTCTCTATTCAACCTAGAGTCTAGAGTGTAAAAATATTAAAAACCAAAGATGAGCTGAATCTTATTCAATATGTAAAAGATCTTGAAACACAGCCCTAGGTTAAGGTCAAAGCATTTAGACTAGATAATGGAGGAAAATTTCGTCATCTTGCATACGAAAGGGCGTATCTAAAAAATCCTAATTTCACAGGAGAGCGGTTTGAAATTTTTGATACAATCAAAACTTCCGCCACACAAATACAATAAGGTTTGCATTGCTGTTAAAGGATTTTTTCAGTCAGAAAAAAAAACAAACAGCAACAAAATATCGACTAAAGACCTAATTAAAAGGGCATGTCAAAAAAACTCGATTTTTTGAGATACGCTTTTTCGTATGCAAGACGACGATTTGTGTCGAGTAGTTTTAGGAATTTTTGTAAAAAGAAAGAAAGGTATAAATTTGGAATATACCATGCCATATACCCCCAAGAGAATAGAGAAGCTGAAAGAATGAATAGAACTCTATTGGATAAAATAAGAACCAAGATTCTAGATTCAGGTATTCCAAAAACACTATGAGATGTTGTGTGTATGAACTGAATAGAATTCCAACTAGAGCTTTACCTAGGGGAGTAACACCCTCGATAATTTGGCATGGACGAAATGATCTGAGTGAGCTCAAGATTTTTGGGTTTGCCTGGTTTACAATTCTACCCAAAGGGGATAAGTTAGATGCTAAGGCAAAGCAGGCTCTTATGGTGGGATATTGTGGTGGTGGCGATAGATTGTGGTTACTAGATGAGTCGAAAATAGTGAGATCCGGATAAGTAAGATTTCATGAGAGCTTGATGGAGTACAAGAGAAGCCAAGATAGGGATAGAAAGCCAAAGGAAAAAGAAAAACAGTCAAACTACTTACCTGATAAAGAAGAGGAAAGAGAAGAGGGAAAAGAGAGACAAGAGGAAAATTATATTGAATTAGGAGATACAAGAAGAGAGGCCTGTTGACAAGGATGCAATGGAAATTCAAGTAGTGATGACAACGAAAAACATAAGCCATGGAATAATAGGACTATAACAAGAAGAACTGTGAACAAACCGGAAATTCTTGAAGACTATGAAATATACAGTGCCTATTATTTGCTCACAGCTACTCCAGATGAGCCTTAGAGTTATACAGAAACCTGTGAAAGAGTAGAAAGAAGCCATAGAAGAAGGAAAATAAATCTCATGAAACTCTCAAACTTGGATTCTAGCAGAACTTCCTGAATGTCAAACACCTATAGACACGAAGTGAATTTTTAAAATAGAAAAAGATGGTACAAAGAAAGCAAGATGGGTTGTAAGAGGTTTCCAAGTAGGTACCATATAATGAAAGTGATGAATTCATTTATGCTCCAGTGTGTAGATTAGCTACAATAAGACTACTTTTATAAGTGTCTTTACAGAATGATTGGTAACTGCATCAGATTGTTCCTACTGCATTTCTAAATGGATTCCTAGAAAATGATGTGTACATTAAGCCACCAGGGCTGGAACTCTGTAACAAATAGAAATATTTTCTATCGATTTCGAAAAGACAGAAGAAGCTAGCGCCATAACGATGGGAATAATGATCTCTAGCCGTTACAGAGTCCCAGCCCTGGGTTCTTATTCTTAAAACAATGGAGCAGCGTTCCCAGGAGAACGAGTGTTCCGTCTTTCTCAATGATACGCAAATGATAATATAAATAACAAGGACCAAACACTATTTCTCTTGGGAACACTGCTCCTCTGTTTCAAGAATAAGGACCCTGAAGGCTTGAACCCAGATGCAAAATATTTTAAACTGAGACCTGCTTTACATGGGAAATGCGCCCAAATATTGGAACATGAAATTTAAGTCCTGACAAGTTTAAATTTTCGAAGATCACAATATGACAAAGTGACAGTGATATTCAAATTACCTAGAAAAGAATGATTGAAAGGCTATTAGAAGAATTTAGAATGGACGAGACTCGGTCATTTGCCACTCTAATGTGGAAAGTGAATTTTCAAATGGATATAAATGCTAGAGTGGTAGATAATGTTCCATATCGAAGATTGGTATGCAGTTTAATGTATCTACCTTTAGTGACCAAACTTGATATCGCATATAGCGTTGCTTATTTGTTCCGAGTTTTTGATAAACCCACTTCATGTGCATGCAAAGCAGCTTAGATAATTCTTCGGTATCTAAGCTGTACTATTGACTATGGACTAACATTCACCAGATCTGACAATGAACTTATAAGTGTATGTGATGCTGATTGTGGTTGGTGATTGATCATCATACTCGCAAGAGTGGATTTGTATGTTTGCATGGAAAGAATCCAATAGCCTGATATTCAAGAAAACAGAACCGTCGCATTATCCTCAATGGAGGCAGAGTATATTTCTGCAAGACTGGCAGCACAAGAACTTGTAAATCTTAAGGGTGTTCTTAAGCTGAGCTTGGAATGGGATTTTAGTGCAGTGCTAGTGCGGTGTTCGTGTAGTGCAGTGTTATATCACGTGATGAAGGTGTAATTGGCGGTGTAACACCGAATACACCTTCATAATATACCGAGTAAGCGGTGTCGCATCATCTTCACACCATCCGGGCACCAAATCATTTCCAAACGCAAATAAAGTGTACACCAAACTTATAGATACGGCACTCTCTACCATTCCAATTTCCGAACTCACCTTTAGTGACTTCACAAGTATAATGGCGTTTCAGATTGGTAGATTCAGTGCGCACTGAGTGTATTTGCATCCTTTTAATCGACCTGTAGAAGAAAAAGAGAGAAATAGAAAAAACTGCACTAGTTCCGCACTAAATGTACCAATCGGAAACGCCATAAGACTATCCAAGGTGCTGTCAAAACTAAATTAAAATGTCCGGCAAGAGGCACACAAAACTTTTGTTTGCTTGTCAAAGTGACGTGTTTTGGATAGGCTGACTATTCAAGGTGCTGTCAAACTTAAATTAAAAATGTCCGCCAAGAGGCACACAAACCCTTTGTTTGCTT